CTTCTTCTTCTTCTTCTTCTTCTTCTTCTTCTTCTTCTTCTTCTTCTTCTTCTTCTTCTTCTGTATCCGATTTCAAAATTCAAATTTGAAATGATTCTTGAAGGGCTTGTGAGAGAGAGACTTGCCCTCAAAAATACGATTCAAGGGCTTAGGGTCATCCTCTTCGAAGAGACACTCATCCCTTACTCAAAACCATTCAGGCTTATCCTCTTCGAAGAGACACTCTCTATCCATCACTCAGGCCTTAATCTCATTCTATCACTCTCCAGGTAATCAATCAGTTTCATCGATTTACAGTCTCTCATCCAGGTAATCATTCTCCATTGATTTTGGTTCACTTTTTATACCCTCTTTCGCAGACTTCTTTCTATCACACTCTCCTTCCGTTCCAATTTTTGTCCAGGTAATTAGGGTTTGATTTCCCACTTTTAGTTCTTGAACTTAAATGCTATTTAATTTTGATTTCTCACTTTTAAACTTGAATTGCAGTTAACCTATGTGGTATCATAGGTTTGTTTTTTAATAGCAGCCGATTTTTTGTATAGCAATTGGTACCACAGTTTCATGAACAAGAAACTTGACCTGCTGTTGTAGAAAACTAAAATCTATTGTGTCTTTATATGAAATAAGATGTTATTTAGTCTATTTTCTCTACATGTGCTTGTTGTAGTTTGATCAATGGCAGAAGCAACTGGGCCTGCTAACAAGCCAATAAATGAAGAGATTGGTAGCTGAGGTGAATTATTCTACTATCTTCTCCACGAGTTTGTTCTGCTTGTTTTCCTTTAGATACAAATGACAATACAAATATATGCAGTACCTGGAGATGGAGGTTTTCTTAATTGCCAATATAAGAAAACATGACCTTTCATCATTCTCCTGTAATGCTTTTGCAGAAGGTACAATTGTCTGTTGCATACAAGACTTTATTTATGAAATGCCAGGCGAATATGTTAATAAATTGGTAGTGAAACAAGAAGTGATCCTAAACTAAGGGTGTTTTTGCGGATTTCGTAGTTCCAATAATTAGGAAAAGCAAGAGCGTGTAATGTAGAAACACGTATTTGAGAAAAGACATGTCTATTTCGAAAGTAGGTGTCCCTAAGAAGGGAACGACACCCCGCAAGAAGTATTAGGGACCATGCATTAGGAATATCTTTTTCTACTATTTGTTGTATGCTTCTTTCTTTCTCTTTGAACATATAAAAATTTCTGTTGAGTCTTTTTAATCCAAATTTACACACAATCCTAATTGCTGCCTATATTGTACCCTACTGTACTGGACTTTTATTGGCTTACCGTGTTTTGAAGAAGCTTGAGATGGACGAGGAGTATGAGGGAAATCTTGAGGTATCTAATTTGTTTCCAATTTACTTGGATGTTGTAATTATGCGGATTTATTTTATTTGAGATATATTATTTGCAGGCGACTAGGGAAGATTACTCTATTGAGCCTGCAGACAGTAGAAGGCCTTTTAGGGCTCTTCTGGATGTTGGTCTTATCAGAACCACCACTGCAAATCGTGTTTTTGGTGCTCTCAAGGTACATGGTTGTTTTTATGCTAGCATTCAATTTCCAATAGGGTGATTTCATCTTCTTTTGTACATATGTTGATAATCTGGGATGGAGTTTGAGTAGTTTTTAAATATAAAATACGCATTATGTACTGACTTGTGCATTTTCTTAATGGGAAACTTTTGGTTCAGGGAGCTTTCGATGGTGGACTTGACATTCCGCACAGTGAAAAGTTTGTTGGATTCAGCAAGGATGGTAAGCAACTTGATGCTAATGTCCACCGCAGGTACATTTATGGCAGGCATGTTGCTTCCTCCATGAGGGTGAGTCTGTTGTTTAACAAGAGATGTAGTGCATCTTTGAAAATAGAACATATCATTTGAAAATAGTTGGTTTATATGCAGACTTTGATGGAAGATGAGCCGGAAAAGTATCAGTCTCACTTTTCTGAATACATTAAAGCTGGAGTTGACTCGAAAAACATTGAAGAGTTGTACAAGAAGGTGCATTCAGCCATTCGTGCTAATCCAACCCCAAAGAAGTTGGAGAAACAGCCTCCAATGGAGCACAACAGGTAACCTCATTTTTTAAAATCTACCCTTTTGATGGTAAAAAGATAATTTTGCGGAAGATTATGTTTATATAAACAGAGAGATGATTATGTGTGTTGATGTTGTTTTAGTGGGTTTAGGTTCAACCTGAAGAAGCTAACATATGATGAGAGGAAGCAGAAGCTTATTGAGAGGTTGAATGCTCTGAATGCGGCAGTTGGTGGCGTAGAAGCTAACATGTTTGATTTTGAATTATTTGAAAAGAAAGTTGAAAACAGTTCAGTTTTGCATGCTTTGATGTTGGAATTGCCTTTATATATGGCGTTTGTTCAGTTGTATATGTTCCATATTTTTTTTCAGATGCGAGCAGGCTATGGCCATTCTCTATTTGAATCACTTCTTCCATTGGTTTTGGGCCGTGATGTTAGTGGTGAAGTGCTGCAGTTGGAGGGTCTATTCAGACTCTTAATGTTAGGTAGGAAGTTTTTGGTGCATTGCACCCAACAGCTGTGAGAGGTACTTATGCTGATTATATTGTTCTTGCAGAAGAAACTGTATTGAAACTCTTATCATCGACCTATATCTTCTTGTTCCTCTTCCTCATCACAGACTGTTGTTGCTCCTCTGGAACGATTGAAATTTCTTCTTCAGGTGGATACTTATTCTCTTTTGGTTCCATTTATAAGTAAACACGCATTCTGTCATATTCTAGTAACCTTTTTTTTTTTTTGTTTATTTCATGCTCCTGTGGTACATGATTTTTGTATTAGTCATGCAAGAAGAAGAAATCAATCTGCTGGTAATAAAGTTCAGAATCTGCTATCATATGTATTAGAGTGTAGATGATTTAAATATGACTCACTAAATATTATGTAAAACCAACCAAACTGTAGATGATTTTACCCTGTTTTGAGTGATAACATGTTGGTTATAAGACTATAGTAAACCTATCCAGTGGGTACCTGTAAGCATATACGGTTCAGTCAGAAAATTGCTTCTATAAATTTTTAATTCGATTATTCTTAGTCTAGAAAAAAAGTGTATTGTTCTATAAGTATTAAGACTAGCTAATCTTTTGGCTAATAGGGAGTTGAGGCTTAGTCTTTAGGTCCAACATCAAACAACCCAGGTGCACCCTATGCTGGCCGTATGTATTTTTCTTTAACGTGTGGACAGATTTGGGGCTTTTGTGATTTTTTTTGTTCTACCGGTCAAGAACTGGGGTCTTTGGCATCGTGATCTCTGTCGGTATAAATTTCCACTCACCTTGGTATTGTCATATGTTAATATATCATTTGTTGACATATTTTACGATCATAGTGTTTGTGTGAACATCCCAATCGTACTCTCTGGAAAGAAAGAAGAACTTGTGGTATTATGAAATCTCAGCCAAGAGTAATTACAACTTTAAGAAGCCCTTTCTCTATCTTGGCAGAAAGCTTGCTGGGTTAACAATCATCAAACTTTATTCAAGAAAAAGGTTTTAAGTATAATATTTCAAGAGTTACTATGCTAAATTTTTTGTTGTTTTAGGGATCCCAACTTGCATTTTGTTGAGTCTCCTACTCTTTCTCCCCCAGAAGTGCAAATGAACATTGATGTTCAACAACAATAAGCCAGAATATTGTGGTTATTGAGTTCTTTTCTTATTTCAAAAAGTATGTGTGTAAATGATGGTGTTCTTTTGTAGGCATGAGGGCGAGCTTGCTGCCACTGCGAGCCAACCACTTTGAGATGACAGTGATGACGATGATGATGCTACTTTTGAATAGAAGAATTTGAGAAGGGTGGTGTTTTGGTTATGAATGATGTCTCGTGAAAACGCAAAAAGCCTCAAAATCGTTTACATTTAGACTCCCGCCGCATTGCGCGGGTATACAACTAGTATGTATATATATATATATATATATACTATCTTATTAAGCAAATTTAGCAAAAGTCTTAAAATACTAAATGACCAAGATACCCTTTATACTACTTTTTCACTTTTTCACCCCTTCCTCTCCTCACATACACTCACCCCCTCACATACACTCACCTTCTCACATCCGATTTTTTTAAAATTATAATTTTAAATTTACACTTTATACCCCTATAATTAGTTACTTAATTTACTTTACGTCATTTACTTTTAAATATTTCATTTTAAACTTTTATCAAATTAATATACATAATCGTATATTAATTAAAACATGTTTAAAAATACATTTTTATTTTAACAAGTTACACCATTATAATCGTCTCGTTAATACCTTCGAAATGAGTCCATATTGAATAGTTTTTGACTTAATATTATTATTATATATTATATATACTGTGAAAAAATATTTTTAATATTTATGATTTATACTTTTATAGTTATATATATATATACATATATATATATATTATATTTTGGGGTTAGGCTATCCAAATTGCACTGTATAATATGTTTAGAATTAATATGTTGTTGGATTTTTTTTTGAAATATATATATATATATATATATATATATACATGTAATAATTCAACCTTAATCTGAGTTTCTGGACAAGAAAGAGGGTAAGCAGTTGAAATTTCATTCTAAAACCCATATTTTTTGGTCTTTTCATGGCTTATAATCTGTCAAATTTGTAGATTTCTTTATTGGTTTTGAGTGTTTATCTTAAAACTCAAGTTTCTTGGTTATATGCATTTGGTGTAAATCGAACACATTTGTGGAGTCGTTTAAATATGTTGGATTTAAAACTGTCATACAATTTTTTTCATCGATAGTCTGTATTTGGAACCGTAACTCTTATTTATTCAAATTGGATTAATATGTAAAGACCAAGTGTAACCTATATCATCATTAAATCTTATCTTATAAAACCAGTGGAACTTCAAAATCGTTAAAATTCATGGCTCTCGCCGCATTGCGTGGGTACACAACTAGTATACACACACACACACACACACATATATATATATATATATATATATAGAGAGAGAGAGAGAGAGAGAGCTTGGTTTAAATACTAACCAATTTTTTTGTGTTAACTATGTTAACCAAACTCAACCAATCATATTCCATCTTTTCCTTTAGTTCAAATGTAACTCATATATTAAATACAAGGGTATTTAAGTAATTTGTCATTTATGTAACTCCCAAATAATTAATTGGGAGTTACAAATTTGAAAATATCACAATTGATCATGATGCAATATTGAGATTGGGGTTTCACACGTGTTCATGTTCTATAATTCACATTTATTTTAATCGATAGTTCTCACCTTTGACATATGAACACATCAGAAATCACACAGCCTTAGATGTCGTGATTCATAAGTGTTCATGTATATTCAAGTCACTAGATGTTCATATGAACACACACACACACACACAGAACATGTGAACACGTTTGAAAACACACAACCCTAGATGCCTTGGTTCATAAGTGTTCATGTACATACAACAGAGTTGGCTCCTGAATATACAGAAGATGTTCATACGGTTCACTTGTTGTTCATATGTCTAATCTTTTTTGTTTGATGTGGTTTGAAGATATACACAAGTTGTTCATACGGTTCACATGTTCACATGTCTAATCTTTTTTGTTTGATGTGGTTTGAAGATATACACAAGTTGTTCATATGTCTGACAACTCGTGTATCAAAGATAGATTACTTTTTACCTAAATACCCTTTGATATTTTGTTCACATATCTTAATTGAAAATATTAATTTAATAATTAATTTTTAAATATCATTAAATAACAACCGTTTATTATTCAAATTAATGGTCAAGATCGGTTAACAAAGTTAACACGATAATCTTGATTAGCATTTGAACCAGCCCTATATATATATATATATATATACAAATGAGGGCGGTTTTTATTTGATCACTCCTCTATATATATATATATATGTATATATATAACATGCATGAATTTTCACCCATGGAATACTTAAGCTCATGAATTTTCATCCATGCAATTCTTAAGATTTTTTTTGTTTTTTAAATTTCTCACTAAACTTGTATAAGACTGATATGATCTTTTTCTCTGGCAGAATCGAAGGACGATAACACAGGTTCACTCCGGCATTAACTGTAATGTTTGGTGTAATTATTTTGATATAATTAGAAAGTTCTTATATATATATATATATATACTTATAGATGTGTAAGTATATATATGGTGATGTGGGAATATGAATTTTTTTTTGAGAAATGATGGCTATGCACTTGCTATAAATAACAAGTGCATATGAAAGAAAAAGTTTTGGTTTTCCTGGGAGCAAACATTGAGAGTGAAGACTGAAAGAAAATTTGCATACAATAGAAGACAATTTTCAAAGCAAAGGTGAGTGTAATATGCTTTGTGGATTAATCAATTGTACATAATTAAGTTGCTATTGGAACTTGCTTATTATGAATCGCATTGCATATCATTCGGATTCATCCTAAACCGGATGAAGGCTCATCCGGATTCATTCTAAACCAGTCAAGGCTCATCAGACGAATTCCCTAAACCGGTCAAGTACCATCTGGTTTACCTCTTAAATCGCTCAAAGTTCATCCGGATTTATGTGAAACCGATCAAGAACCTTCCGGTTTAAACATCTAAATCGACCAAATATCTTTTGAACTTTTCCGAATAAGTGATGTCTGGATTACTCATCCAACCAATGTCCGGATTACTTATAAGTCTGGTCAAGATTATATATGGAGATTTTATTGCTTAAATTTAGAAAGGAAGAGGTAATGGCGGTGTAACCGCGAGAGAGAGAGAGAGAGAGAGAGAGAGAGAGAGAGAGAGAGAGGTAGTGGCGGTGTAATCACGAGAAAGGGAGGTTGTTGATCCTCTCTCTCAGTGATTTGATGATAATCCCTTTTTCCTTTCGACGTATTTTGTGTTTCTGTACTTTCAGTTCCAGCGATCAATACACTGAGCATGTTCAGTGATCGCTGAAGAACTCACATTGTAATTCATTCAGAGACAACGATACTTCAAGAAAATAACATTCACACCAAAGATCTTTCAGCAAACGTCAAAGA